CCCTAGAGCCCTAAACCCTACATCCCCTGAACCTCTGGAGGATCATGGGGCCTAAGGAAAGTCCCCCCCAACTACCCTCATTCTGCCACTAATCCGTTTCACTCGGGTCTCCTTCTTTTTTGAAAACACGCTCGAGACTAAGTTCCATGCTCCGTCCGGCCCGAAACCCTTCTGGAGCCTTTAAGGAGTCCTTTAAAGGAACCCGAGAAGGAACCCTTTGAGCTACGAAGTCCCCTCGGATCCTAAACTCTAAACCCTGAANNCTAAACTCCTAAGCCCTAAACTCCTGAAGTCCACAACCCTCAACCCCAAACTCCCAAACTCTAAACTCCTGAACGTCCTAAACTCTGCACGGCCTAAACCCCAAACTCCCAAAATCTAAACTCCCAAGCTCTAAACCCCTAAACCCTAACCTAAGCCCTTTCAGCAGCTCCGCAGTAGCCCAGCCTCGCTCTCCGAAGCCATGGTGCTCACGGAGCTGCTCGAAAGGATACGCTTTGAGGAGAGTCCCTGCGAAGAGTCCTCGGTTTCGGAGGTCTTCGGGTTTGGGGTTTAGGGTTTCGGGTTTCGGGTTTCTGGGAGTTTAGGGTTTAGGGTTTCGGATTTCGGGTTTAGGAGTTTAGGTGTAGGGTTTCGGATTTCGGGTTTAGGAGTTTAGGTGTAGGGTTTCGGGTTTCGGGTTTAGGAGTTTAGGGTTTACGGTTTTTAGGGTGTAGGACTTGAGGGAGGGAGCCTTTTTTGGGGCGCACGGCGAGGGACTGCATGCACTGAATCTGAACACGATAAACCGCGGGGGCTAGATAGGGATTTGCTGAAGACATCGTGGGTCTCAGCTTGGAGGTGACCAGGCCTGTCCAGATGTGTTAAAGCCAAACATCCATGGAAACAAGAAGAAAACTGGGAATAGTACCAGCGAGCATGACCACTCGGAAAAATCACCGCACTGATGCTGAAAGTAGTAGTTCTGAGAACAATCAGCTAAACATCAATACAGGCCAGAAAAAATGCAACTAGCGGGTTGTTCAGGGGTTCCAGGTTCATGGTTGCGCCATGTGGGGGTAAACATGTGGAGGTCTTTGATTGCAGGTAGCCCCGCAGTTTCCAAAATACAAGTCGCCAAGGCTCCGCTTAGTAGGTCTATGAGGCACAAATCGACCCGACAGAACGAAAATTGCTTGGTGGACTACATACCTTCTGCCCCCACAAGCGCATAGAATCTTGCAGCCGGGTAGCTTTCGACGGGAAACCTGGCAGGAAAGGACGCTCTTCGTGGCTGGAGACATGCTTAGGTGGGTACTCCTCTTGGGATTGGCGCCTTCGGGGCCTGTCCGATCCCCCAGAAATCTGGAACTCCTGTTGCGTTAGCGCAGCTGAGTGAAAGAGCATGACATCAAAGACAACATCAAAGCCCTAAGCCTAAATTGCGAAGGATGGCAGAGTTACGGACCATCTTTGAGTGAAAGGCATTCCACTCATGCTACAAGCTCCGAGACCAGAAGATCACAGAGTTCTAAGCTCGGTCTGGGGAGGCTTCTACTCGATACTCAATAAGCCAACAACATGCCGTAACGAGAGGCCCTGATGTGCCTGGGAGCAGTAACGAAGGAGATCACTCTGATTGGTTTGTACGTATGTCCCAATGTAGTCCCTACTACAAAAATTAACGCAACATGCATTATGAAAGCCCCTAAAGTAAGCAACGGGGTAAAGCTAAATATGAACCCTAAACCGTTAATTGTCAAAACCCTAAAACCTGAAACCGAAAAACCCGTTTCCGTTTTATCACTCGCAACCCCCCGGCCTGCACACTCGGCAATCTTGCGCTGCAAGGTACGCAGCTCCTTTCAGCAAAGGAGCTGACGATGAGCATCGCCAGAGGAGTATAGGCTTGCAGGCGTTAGGTGGTTAGGCTTTAGGACCTTATCTAGGGCTTGTAGGGGGGGGGGCCTTTAAAATCCTTGTAGAGTTTATTGATGCTTCCGGTGCCATGTTGACTCTGATTCCGCAGGTGTTCGCCATGCGCTTGGGGCAGCTCCTCCACAGATGGCGCTGCAGGCGACCTCAGATGCTCGCCCCTTTGAGTCATGGCCTAATGATCAGGCCTAATGGTTCAGGGCCTAGGGTCCAGGGTGGGCCTCCCGAAAGGTCAGAGTGAGTTCTGCCTGGCCCTTGCTCCGGTGTAATTATGTCGGGCTGGGGCCTGCACGAAATTGGGTCATGTGGTACTTTAGTTACAAAGGGCTCAGGAATAGAACGCCTATGACAAGTTTGGAGGCACTGAGCTGAGTCTTCAAATGTCAAAGCGTCGAACTTGGACTTGGTTGGCAGAAACCCCCGCAGACAAGCCGTGGAAGCTCCGGGGTAAGTCGCCCCCGATAAAACCTTATAAAACCCTCATACACCCCCTACGGGCCTCTGAAAGCCCTTCCCCCGAAGCCTTAGCTGACGGGCGGCTCAGAAGGCGGCGCCAACAGCTCTTTGGGGCTCACCGGCGCCGCCGCGATCTTGTTCAGCTTCTGCACCTCAGGAGTCTGGGAGTTTCGGATTTAGGGTTTACAGGGGAGTCTGGGCTTATGCCGGTTTTAGGGGTTAGGGGTTTAGGGGATTAGGGGTTTAGGGTTGAGGGGTTTAGGGTTTAGGGTTCTTATCGGTTTAGGCTTAGGAGTTTTGTGGCGCCTCTCTCTGCATTGGGCTTTGACGTCTCGGGCGCACTCTTCTGCATCTACAGTAGGTCCGTTGTGTGGACATTTTCGGGATGCCAAGTCCCGCTTGGCTTGGATACTAGAGATCCTTACTACCCGACAAAAGTAAACGCAAGACATCTTGAACACAGCCCTACTATGGCACAGCCCTCCTGATGACGATGACACCTTCAGTCCGACATCTTAAAACCCTAGAATCCCTAGAAGTGCTCCAACAGACCCCGCAAATCTTATCATATTTTCCTGGCAGCTGCGGTGCCTTCGCCAAGAGCCGAAAAGGGCCCCGGAGGCTCAGTGGATCTCTGGGAATTCGGAATGAAGGCCCTCGTCCAGTGTTCTACTAGGTAAGGGCTTGGAGCTTGGGGCCCTGGATTCTCCTAGTATTCGGCCATAATTCCGTTGTATCGCGCTGCTGTTCAACTCTATTACTTTTCGTCGAAGTGTTCCCTCTTTCGTTTCTGTCCCCAAACCCGAGCCGTTCTGCAGCCGCAGCCACACAATCCTGGTAGTCAGACAGGTCTGTCGTCGGGGTTCTCTGCACATCTGCCTCGGGGCGGTGGAATTGCTGGAGGCCAAACCCTTCACAAAAATGTCAGAACGAAGACAGCTTGCTACTCTTGGTTGTACTTAGTCATCCCCACCATGGCGGTAGTTGCTTCAACATGATGAGGAAGGAAGGAGGATGATGTTGATCACGCGAGCGCTGCTCTCATTCCGAGATCTTCTCGTGGGTGGTGTGTGTTGCTCTCTTCGTTTTTCCCTGTTACGGTTGACATCATAAGCCGTTGCTGCTGCTGCCGCTGTCACTCCGGCCAGCTGAGGAGATCATCCAACATTGCTACAAATGACCAGAAATTAGACAGCCACTAGCCCTTGCCATCCAGTCACCGAGCGAGATCGGCGTGGGGCTGACTGGTCAGCATCGTACCAGTGCAGAAAAGTGTTTTTTACCTTGGAGTGTCAAGAGCTGCACAGTTGCTGAACAAGATCAAGCAGCTGACAAAATCTCTTGCTGCAAGGCGGCAGTGGCCAGCATTGTGACTCCTGTCCTTTGTGTTAAAAGTCGAGCCAGGGTCCTGCCTCGCAGTCATGATCGGCACCAACATCTGGAGCAGAGAGACCCCTCTCAAAAAGCTCAACACCCCCGCCCGAAAGGTATTGCACAAGCAGCAAAGCGCAGAGCTACTGCACAAATTGCAAGGCTCCGGTACCGGCCTGATGGGTCCGGTTGATGCAAGGAAGCAAGCTTCTGCAAATGCTTCTGCAAATCTTTGAGCCAATAGTACCACGACAAGCAAAAAAGTTGTGGAATCACAGAGCAACATTGAGTATGACAGCCATATTTGTCGTAGCTCCTATCTGTATGACTGCCAAGACAGCGACGACGATCGCGACAGGAGGAGGAGGAGGTGGTGGTGGTGGTGCTGCTGCTGCTGCTGCTGCTGCTGGCGGCGGTGGTGGTGGTATCGTTGGCGATGGCGACGCCGAGAACCTCTGCAGTCATCTCTGCGTTGACCAGCGAGTCGTCGCAGTGATGGTGCCCCTCGGCGCCCCCTCTGTGCCACGAAGACTGGGAAAGGGAGAAGCCGGCAAGTTCCACGTTGCTGTGTGGCTTACAAAACGAATACTTTGCACTATGTGTTCTGTGTGCTCAGGCTGCGTGGGATAAAGGGGCATCGACAACAAGTTTGTGCTGGCAATTTACCGTATCAACTGGTGGCTGGTCTTGTGCCGATTCTTCCCGGATGCAGATGTGAGTCTGCAACAACTCGGATTGAGCTCAGTCTACTGCAACATCTATGGCAAGTACTGGGGATTTTCCTGAATCTGGCTTTCAGTTTCTGCAGCTCTTGTGGGTGGGTTTTGCCTTCATTTATCAACCACAGGTTCCTGCAGAACGGAAGAAAGTCAAACCCTGTAGCACTGTAAATGCGAGGACAAGCTCTTGAAGCGAGAACCCTCTGCAAGATCTTTCGATGTTGCTGGTGGTGCTGGGACGAATGGTCGTTGTGTCGATGCTACCGGAAAGGTATTGAATTGATTGCACTCCTAAAACGTTTACCACTGTGCATTGCCATCACCACTAGTACGAATCTTGCTTGGTGTGGTCACTATTTTGTCTAGCCGCTGAATGAGGCCCCTCGTAAAGCCCAAAGGCTTAACAGCTCAGAGCAAGCAACTCCGGAAAGGTTGCTTTTAGCACGGAAGAGGGCCCACAAAACCCCCGCAAAAACCCGATAAGAACCGAATCAAAACACCCTAAAGCCCTACCTTATCCTATAAACACCCACCCTAGTTGGGCCCAAACAGAGACCTTTTTCTCGCTCTCAGTCTTTCGGTGGCTCGTTGTGAGAAAGCCAATCTTCGACCCCAAGCGCGAGGCATTCGGCGAACTGCTGCGGACCTGAAGTAGCAGGAGGAGGAGCAGGAGTAGGAGGAAGCGAGCAGGAGCAGGAGTGGGAGTCGGCAGACGCAGGCGCAGGCAGTCACAGTCGGAGTGGCAGTGGAAGTGGCAGTGGCAGTGGTAGTGGCAGTAAGTATTGGTGGTGGTGGTAGTAGTAGTAGTTGTTGTTGTTGTTGTTGTAGTTGTTGTTGTTGTAGTTGTAGTTGTTGTTGTTGTAGTTGTTGTAGTTGTAGTAGTTGTAGTAGTTGCATTAGTTGTTGTCGTTGTTGTAGTTGTAGTTGTAGTTGTAGTTGTAGTTGTAGTTGTAGTTGTAGTTGTAGTTGTAGTTGTAGTTGTAGCTGTAGTTGTAGTTGTTGTTGTTGCTGTTGTTGCTCCGATGCCCTGTAAACACGCAAAACCGAGATGCCGATTTCATAGGTATTTACAGTGTTTTCGTCACTTC